TGAGAAACTTAAATTCAGACTTCTGAAAAAGCTCATCCCAAGATTTCAGTGCTGAAATATGGCATGCAGATGCATTATATAATACTTATACTGGAATATTTCTAACTATGAATGGCAGCTTCCAGGCTGATACAAGCATATTTTCTTATTTTCTGGTCCAAAATTGCTCCTTTTGGAATTGTAAAAAAATATCTATACTCAATCATAAACAGGAAAATAGAATAGAGAAGGGAGGAAACCAGCTGTTCCTTGCGGAAACAGAGCATGCAGTGTGCTGGGAGACACCTGTTTCCAAAATATTTAATTATGGCACAGTTTGGGACTGTCTGATGTCTAATTATGCACTAACTATAGACATTGGTGGTCCAGGACTAAATCCAATTAAGTGGAAAAAATCTACCTTGCTTACCATGTTTTCTTCATAGAAGAAATGGAATGGCAATTATCAGCATGTGAGCCCAGGCACCTGATGGCTTTTTCTGATGTAGCAGTGTAGTGCTTGAGAGGGACAAACCTGATTCTGAGGTGGAGGTGTGAGCATTTTTGTTTAAGTTTAGTAAGATAAAACAAAATGATGGTGATTTATACAGGAAAAAAATTGTGGTTCCCTTAATGAACCACAGGTGAGTTTGGCTCACTAGGACAAGGAATCCCCAGTCCTCGATGAAAGCTGTCAGTACTGTCACTTCGGCAGATGTACACAGAGCAACGCTCAGTTCTGTAATAATACAGTGCAGGACAAACTTCTTAAGTGGGCAAGACAATACATTAAAAAAAAAAAGGTGAGTTTTCTGTTTAGATTTACAGCCATAGCTTATGTTTAAATATTTGGGAAATGCTTCATCACATAGTAAATCCATGCAGAATAAAGTATCACTGCCACACCAAGTTATTAAACTTTAGTCTTAAAAAGATTTGTGAGAGAAGTGTCTCTCAGGTAAGGTGCAGATATTTATGTGCATAATTCTTCTTTTGTCTAGTATTGTGCTGTTCACAGCTGTATGGAGTAATTAGGCATAAAACACAGTCAATGTATCTTGAATATACCTAACATTATCTGGCTGAGCTGGTGATGATTCTTTCCTTTAGAGTGATCATAGCTACCTGCCTGGGTTACAGATTGAAAGTGCTGCTCAGCCTTCTGGCTTAGTTACTGACTAAGATGATGATCAGATAATCAGACTTGTTTTGCTTCAGGAGGGCACTTTTGGCTTGTACTGGACATCTATAGGTTTCCCTCTTTTGAGAAAAATACTGGTAGGATTTTAAATACTTAAATGCCTCATATATATGCGATATACACTATTTAGGAAGGTTTTTAATACTTTGCTGGTTACTCAGAACAGTTTATTACTTGCTTTAAAGGTAAGAAATCCTATTAGTCTTCGGGTAGTTGTGGGGAGATGAGTGGGAAGATTGGAAAATGGAGCATGTATGCCATTTAAAGACACCTTCCAGAAGACATAAACAACTAGTGGTTACTTTTTTGTGTGAAATCCAGGACAATGATATTAGAAAGCTAAAAGGAGCTTTTGAATATCTGCACTATTCTCTAGGTCAGGGTAACATGACTGAGACCCTTTGATGTGCAGTCCTGACTAGAAGTATAATAGCAGCTCTTGCAGCAGAAATATACAGCCTTTATCTTACATGGAATAGCGAGTTATCTGAGAGTGAGGAGAAGATAAATTAGCCCTGTATTTTTGGTCCTTGCAAAAAGGCTATGTAGCATATGTGATAATAATTCCTGGTACCTCAAGGCAAGATTTACTCAATGTATTCATGGCCTTCCTAGTCTCTATAAAACTAACTTGTAAGATGACTGGAATCAGAAATTCCAATGCCTCTCTACACCAGTTATATGGTTTTGACTCCAGCTCTGTAGTACTCTTCTCTGTGAAGTCACTTCTGATAATGTCAGGTTCGTTAACCCCACCTTAAATGAGGGCAGAATATCTTTTGGTGAGTACTGCTGAATCACAATAGCCTACATGAAATGGTTTTCGTTTCACTGGGTAATGAATAGTTTTACTCTCTCCTTCTACATATTTCAGTATGTGAAGATTCATTCCAACACAAAACCACAGCTTGCCTGGGTTTTCTTAATTGAAGAACACCCCATGCAAAAAGTCATTTAGGACTTTAACAGATGCATTGCTTTATTTAGGCAAAAGCAGTCTTGTTATCTGTCATTTTGTGGCTGATGTGAAAGCTCTGAATGGAATGTTGGCATTATCTGTTTGACAATGATTTGATGCAATGCTACACTGTGCTATAAATTAGTGTCAAGAAGCAAAATGCTAATGATAGAGGCCCCTCTATGCACTGGTGACTTAAATAGCATGTTTCTTTAAAATTCAACAGTGACTCACTCTCTTTTAAATAAAACCCCTCTGAGCTATTTAAATAATGCCATGAAGTTCTAGTGCATATTTCCTTTGATTCTGAATACTTTGTTGTTTACTTGAATAACTTTCAAAACAATCTTTTGAGCATTGCACTGAGTAATACCTTGAAACATATAGCTTTGTGTAATCAGATTTTTTTTTCAAAGAAATGTTTGATTACCAAGTAAAATGGTGGAATTATATTTGCTCATTTTCTACACTAAATGAAATTGAAGCTGACAGTGGTTTTCTGTACTTTCTTGGAGACTATGCCAGACCTAGGTGAAGTCCTGAGCACCATTTTAAATGTACTTATCACCTTTTAGGACTCTCTTTCGTGTAATCGAATTGGTATTGACTAGAGAGAATTTCCCAGGATTGATGGAATCATTTTGCTCTTGGATGCCTAGACCCTGCAGGCACACCCTGACTGAGCACTACTAAACTCAGTGGCACCATTACAGCTCAATTGGCTGGGGATTCAGACATATGTATCAGGAGGATCTTCTTTGCTCCAGTTTTGTGCATGATGAACACTGCTGATGACATACAAATTTTTCTCCAAGTTTCAAATGCACAGTTCAAATTCTTTGTATCTCGGGAAATATGTCAATGTACCAGCTTTCTGCTGCCATTTTCATCCCTACACACACATACTGGGCACTCTGAAAGCTCTTTTGGATTGAAGTAATTCCCAAGACAGAGCTATTGAAAAAGGAGTCTTTGTTGTTGATGATCTATTATATTCTGCTAATATCTCCCTACTGCAGATATTATCTACTCACTGACGGATGTAAAGAAATGAAAGAGAGTCCTCAAAAAGAAGAAAATACATCTTGTCATTTAGATATTTAATAATGGGGTATGCTCTTTGCTTTTCAGAACAAAACAAAGATTTTAGAGTAATGTCTTTCCAAACCAGACCTGAACAGATCACAAAAATTTCCTTCCAAAGCATGAGATCTTTCTATCATCTATAACTCCACCTTGTTGTGTAAAAAGGTTGCAAAGTGGCAAATGAGTTCTGCAGCAAAAGGGAGGGAAAATAATGATGATCTCAATGAAGAATGCCTTCTAGTGAAGACATATTTTGAAGAATGACTCTTTTAACAGTCCCAAAAGTTGCTACAGGGCTTATATATAATTCAAATACCTCAGGTCATTTATACATAGACACAAAAGTTGCAGAAAAGGATATTTCAGGTAGCCATCACTTAATCTGAAAAATGATTTATCTTTTGAAAATATCCTACTCTGCACCTGGAAAGAAACTGGGGAAAAAAAACCATCATTAACTGATCATAAGTATAAAATATCTTGCAATAGACTGGGCATTTTTGTACCATTTCAAAGTCTCTGAAAGAGAATCATTAGTAATATTCTGACAGAAAGAAATAATCACTTTGGCAGATTATATCCTGCAGGTATTACTAATAAAATCCTCCCTGAGGTTTAAATTGTGATTCACATATAAATGGAAGTACAAATTGTCCTTGTTCCATGCCAGCTGCAGTTATGAACAATGACATGTCTGGAAATATTCATATTATCAATCCTGAAATCCATGTGTGTTTCAGTGAGGAGAAAAATCTAGCTACCTGTCACATCCAGGCTACACATACATAGCTGAGGAATGACAAAATTGCTTCTTTGCAGTTTCATATCAACAGATTTTATTTTTTTTAATGCCAGCAGTTAAATAACCTAAATTATTCTCATAGCACCCATACCAAAAGTGAAAGGATCAAAGGATGAAAACCAACCACTGGGCAAGGTGCACAGCTACAGGTTCTGCTTTATGGAGCAGGGCAGTTTCCACTCCAGAGCTCTCCTTACTTAAGATAATTTTTATACATTTAATATACAAGTTGTCTTCATGATTGCTGAATTCAAATAATACATTAGGAAGAAACAAAGAAATATAAGGGAGTATCTGTTCAATGGCAGGAAGGGTAGGCAGAGCAGGGTCTGTGAGCAGCTGAATTTGTTAGCATTAGGAAGATGTTTGCAGAAAAAGTTAAGGAAGAGGAGATAGGTGAGGACAAAAAGAAAGAAACTAGGAAGAGATAGTATACGTAAGGAAAACCAAGGGAGCAGGAGATAAAAGGTGTAACAGAAGAGCCACAGAGAACAAATTCTCAGATGCCTTAGAGAGGCTGCTCATGATGACTTTTTTGTTTAACATTCCACCTCAATTATGGAGCTCTAGCACCAAACCTGTTGTCTTCCTGCTGTCACTAGAGGAAAAATACAGACACTATGAAGTTCATTTAAGGGAAAGAGACTGTAAATGGGTGTGTTCAGGACAAGGCAATGAGTTATATTTCTTCTCTTGGGTTTTTTTACTCCTACAATCTTGTTTTTCTCCCTATATTCATGTACAGTTTTCACAGCCAGCACTTCCAACTTTGTTTTCCCATTGCTTTGTCAACAGTTTTGGCACAGCATTTTGACTAAATCAACCCCAAAACTTGCAGATGTGGGACAGAGGACACACTCCACTCCCAGTGCAGAGGCAAAGGAGATTAGCACACTTCCCTTTGTCTTTCCACTATTAGTAGCTCTCAGAAGATGACAATTACCTCCCCACACTCCCACATTAAAAAACTTTACCTAAGCGTTTCACCAGATGATCCCCTTCTTTTCCACAGGTTCACCAGACTGCTGGAGCGGCTGGCGGCTGAAGATGACTTTCCATCCCCCACGTGCATGCGGACTACCGTGGATGTGGTGAACGCACTGCGCACATTCCTCTCTGGCTTAGCGAGGATGATGTAGACCTTGGGCACAAACATGCAGCCAAGGGCCACCGTGGCACTCAGACTCACTGAGAAACACATGGTGATTATCTTGTAGTTGCTTCCAAAATATATTGGCACAAAAGCCAGCCAAATGATGCAGGTGGTATACATGGTGAAGGCAATATATTTTGCTTCGTTGAAATTAGCTGGGACATTTCTTGTCTTAAATGCATAAAAGGTGCAGCTCAAAATTAATAACCCATTATATCCAAGGGGAGTCACAACACCCAAGTTGGTGGTGTTACAAATCAGGTAGACCTCTCGGATGCTTGGGTAATCATGCATTATGTCTGGTGGCTCCATTATAAAGAGGGCAACTATGATGCCTAATTGTATACATATCAAGATAAATGCAATGACCAGCTGGGCGCAGGCACTCATGAACCTAGGTTTCTTTGTACAGATTTTCTTCTTGCTTCCAGCCAGGATTCTTGCGATGCGGTTGGTTTTAGTTACTAGAGCAGAATAACTCATAGCCGGCGAGAGGCCGATGCCAATTCGCTGAAGGTAACAGTAAATCTGTTGAGGTTTTGCAATCAGACAGAAAGTGCACAAGTAACCCAGGCAGATGCCGGCTAGAATGATGTAGCAAAGTTCTCGGCTGGATGATTTGACCACTGGAGTATCACGGTACATTATGAACACAATTGTAACAAACAGCGTGGCCAGCAGACCCAGGCATGCAAAAACAACGGCTGCAATGGGTTCGGGATCGCCCCATCTGAGATACTGGACTGGGATGAGGTCACAACCTACAGAAAAATAAAAAGAGAAAGGTAAACTGAAGTATGTAGGTGTGAGATTCTTTAATGATAGTTAGAGGTTTTCTTGATATTTCTCTTTTTTGTTTTTCAGGAAGCTGCCATTGTGTGGAGTGTAGGCTCAGATTGTGTTAAAATAATGCCATTATAATGGCACAATAAGTACATTTCAATGATAGCTTATTTCAGTAATACACTTTATGTGGAATAGAACATGATGACCAAGCTGATTAAGATAAGTCACCTCTCATAGTGCAAATTTACCTTTAAATTCTAAGAAATATAGGAATTCATGAGCAAATTTCTGCAGCAAGTTGCACTACCTCAGTTTAAAATGCTTCAGAGTTTTCTGCATATTATTTACACTTAAAGGACTAGATGTTAATCCTACTAATTATACTGTACACTATAAAGGATATTGGTATTTGCTTAATGATTGTGGAGAGAAATCTTGTAGATTCTAACTGTCAAAAAAAAAGAGAGTGTTTCTCAGATTTGCTACCTTTTTTCTAACAAAAATTTTCTAGAATTGGTCTCGTAAGTAATAGGTAATTTGGAATGGCACACTGTACTCCTTTTTCTGCCATTCATCCTTCTGAAATTTCTGAAAAATTAAAACCTTATCTAACTTGTGAAATAAAATTGAAGTTAATAAATTAGCAACAAAGTTGAATTAGCAGCCAACCTGTTTAAGGACACTTGTTTTTCAGTTTTTCATAGGATTCAGTAAATCATTCTATGCATCTGGGTCATAGAGAGTCAAAAAAGCTTTTAATTCTACAGTGTACAGATCAATAGTAAGGAGTAAAAGCTGTCAGAAAACATGCTGCTGGCATCCCTTTTCTTCCCTCCTTTGTGAATGCACTGCACAGGCTGGATAGATATTTCTGCTTCCTGGACAGTCTATGATTTCTTCCAGGATTTCTGGGCAGACTTAGTTGCTGTGTTGCTGACGACAGCCATAAGCATCCATCCTTGCATTTTATTTCCAAAAACTGAATCTCCTGTTCAGATCCTTTGACCTTGCTTGTTTTCATGACTTTTACTCAGGATGCAGATGGGTTCTGTGTCCCATGGCACTAGAGTATCTTATACCAATGCCTACCAACAAAAGATTTGTTCTCTACTTCCCATCAGCAGGTGATATCCAGGCACTTCCTGGGAAGCAGGCCTTCAGTAAATGTAGCAGTTTCTCCAGAAGAAAAAATGTCATAACAAAAAAGGCACACACCTACACCTTTCTCTTAGGTTTTATTGCTGAGCAGACATCGTACGGTACGGGACATCCCTTTGGCCAGTTTGGGTCAGCTGTCCTGGCTGTGCCCCCTCACAAGGTCTTGCTCATACCCAGCATAGTGGTGAGGGAGGAATATTGGAGAGATAGCCTTGAAAAATGACTGCTGTCTTATCAGTGTGTCTCTAGCTATCAATGCAAAGCACAGCACTGTCAGGGCTGCTATGGGCAAAATGAGCTCCATGTCAGCTGGACCCAGTAATAACAAAGGGGAGGATCTTGATATTCTGGAATACAACTTCCTGAAAACAGTGGACATGCTGGCATTGCCAGCCAGGGCAGGACAGCAGGGAGTGGGTGATGGAATGGAGAAAATGCAACTAAAAGCGTTTATTTCTCCTATACTTGCATTAAGCTTGATTGCAAAATCTAAATTATGTCAAAATTTTGTGGTTTTGTAATGATGTTGTTGTCTTCTGGTTAGATCATGTAGGGGAGTGTCATTCTGACTTCTGGCTTGTGACAAGGCACTGCACCCTGTGAGGATGGAGTGCCAGGTGCACACATCTGTATTTTCTGCAGTGAGGGTAGTTAGGACTGTCTGCTGGATATTTGGATGCCAATAAATTTCAATTAATTAGGCAACCTGGGATCTCAATGAATTGATGAGCAGGAGTAAATGTAGGTATCAGGACTATAATTTGGGAGTTTCTACATGTGAAATCTATTGTATGCCTTTTCCTGCATTTTATGTTGAGTTTAGAGTTTTCCAAATCTGCCACTAACATTTTTAGTAGCAAAAATCATTTCATGAAACAGCATGGTTAAATATTAGGCTTAACTCCTTTCTTCTCTAAGTATTTTTGCATTCTGTATCTCTACAGAAATAATATTTTTGAAGATATAATACCTTGAATCAGGTGGCAAAGGTACAAGGCAGATACTTCTGTGTTCTTGAAGAGAGTGGAAAAATCAGTAGGATTGGGGTCAATGAGTCTTTGACATTAGAGCAATTAAAGTATACAAATTTGCAGTCATTTTAGTGTAAGAGTATTGGGTTCCTTACTGAATACAAATTAATTTGCTATCCATACTTGCCTGCTTTGATGTGAAAAGCTTTCTCTTGCATTAATAAAATTATTACCACACCTAAACATAAGAAAGACAATAGATTTTCATGAAACATTTTCACTGCATTAGTTGATGATACTTTTTTAACTCTTGCTGGTTTTATGGGTTTTCTTATTTAGTATTCAGTGTGAGAGAGGTACTGTATTTTTTTCTGACTTTTTGAAGTTTAAAGTAGCACAGTAATCACATCATAAAAATCAGGATTTTACACAAGTGAGAGTAGGGAAAAAGGGTGAAAACAAGAAGGAATCCTCTCTTGTGTGCATATATCCCACTGTGGGTTCTTCTCCAGGAAGTTTTATAAGTAAGCGACCTCTATTTCTGATTTTAGCAAGATTTAACTAATATTTTGTGGAAACTAATAGTTTCCAGCTTCTAACACTGCTACATATTCTAGACAGGAAATTTGAAGAGAAAAGGTCTTTATCTGGCAGTTGGCCTTTGCATGCAGACAATGATATAGGGGCTAAATTTTGCCTAATTTCTAACATTGTAGCAGAGGTGAATCATAAACAAGTGTTTATCATTAGTTTCAGATTATTTCATGCCTTCCTTGCTTTATTACCCTTTTTTACATTCTCTTGATGAAATACCTGAGAAAAATGTTGAAAACTTGTAGTATTTTTCCCGTCACTGAGTATACTTTACAAGGAGATTGCTAAATTTTGCAATGATTTATTCCTCAATTAAGATCTAAAGATTGGATCATCTTCATGAAACAATGATTGGTGAAGTTTTCATGTAATAATTTTGCAGGTAATGGTTTCTGACAATGGCACTTTTCAGAGAAGGACAGCTAGATCAAGTAAAAGAAAGATGGGAAAACAGCACTGTCAGTGCTCGTGTTAGATTGAAAATGACCTGGACTATACCAAGACAAAAGCTGAAAAATGGTACCACAAAAAGTACTCATTCTTGTCAATGGCCATGACAACGCCCCACAGCCTATCTCTTACACTTTATCAGCATCTCCAAGCACCTGGAAAATTTTCTCTCCTAGCTGGCTCAGAAACAGGTAGAACAAAGCCAGTAGTCTTGCCTGTGGTGCCCAGTCTTGTCCTATAGTGCCTTAGTGTGCTAAGGCACTAAGGTGGTCTTTGGCTTGTGGAAAGGCTGTTTGGACCCAGTCCAATTTGGAGCAGGTGTCGAGTTGTTCTGTGCTCAAGGGTGCCTGGAGCTCCAGTAAAATTGACATGAAACTGCTATTATGCTCTGCTGGCTAGAAAGATAGCCAGCATGGAGCAAGACACCAGATACACACGTGAATAGCAAGATGAGCAGACAGAAAAAAATCAGAATTTCATTTAATATGCTGGGGAAAGGTTTTCTTGAAGGACCCCCAAAAATCACCAAGAAAATACAGATCAGGATGTCTAAGGACCTTCTGAGAAAAAAAGTAGTTTCTGATATTTTGGAAAAATCTCTAGCTACTTGATGGATGGACTAAATTTTGCCATGAACAAGGAGAAGAAATTCTCTTGAAGGCCAGACTGCTGCCATAGGTCAATTAGTAGGTCTATTAGTATACTGTCTTCTTTCTGTAGAGGCAAATTTGTCCCTTATTTCTGATCTTTTATATTGCATTAAAATTAGTTCATCTGGAAGAAGAGTTTATAGATATAAAGCATTATATTATAGACCATATTTTCAGATTTTATTTCAGATTTGATTCTTAGCATGGTTTTAATTTGTTATTACAACCTTGACACCTAGAAGATGCCTTCAGCATCCATAAAAATGTATTAGCTTAGCACTGAGAAATCCCTTCCTTGGCAACCAATATAAAACACATAACTAAACTATTTTCAAAGGCAAACTTGATAGAATAGGGATTGTGAATAGGATTGACTCTGAAAAGTGAAGGTAATTCAATAACTTCTCTTAAGTTAACATCATTAGCTAAAGCTTACTGAATCTGCACATGGAGACTAAAACTGGCAGAAAATTGCTGCTAGTTTAGTAAATTCTAAATATATTTCAGTTGGATTTTGCATCCTGGTCAGCAAGTTTGACCTGTTAAAATAGATTTTCTAGGTAATTTTTCAGACATTCTTCCAAGGTTATCAGAAGTCCAAACTTCAAGGCTGAAATGCAAACAACGATCTAACCACATTTTAGTAATGAATGTGTCTTCATATGGTATTTAGCACTCATTATTCAAAGTCTGTTTATGTTATGAAATTAAATATTTTATATCAATGCTTCTAAATTTTTCTCTCATTATAATCCCAAAAGATGGCAGAGGGATATCTTGATTAGTTATTTAGGCTTCCACATGTATGGAAAGCTGAGATGCAAAAATGTCAGCATCAGAATAAAAATCTGCATAAAGCTGATGGGGTAGATTTTATAATTTACTTTTTTCTTTTTCCAAACCCCAACATTATCCAAACAGAGGACTACACTCTCCAGAGTCCTGGGAGACATATCAGGGCCCTGACCTTGGAATGGAATCTGTACCATCTGAAGGGAGAGAGGACATTAACATGTCAGAACTTTGTTCTGGTGCTATGGTAAATTACTGTAGTCACCAGTTCTTTGCCCTACTCTGGTGGGACCTTTTGAACTTGCTACAAAAGCAGGGCATGCAGAAGTGTCTTAGCTGCTGCAGCTCCCAGACTGGCAC